ACTGAAGAGAATAGACTATTGGAAATAATTTAATACACATTCATGGAAAAATATATTAAAACTAAATCAGTGATTCTGATAGTGTTTAGGCCAGCAGAGAAGGCTTTGCTGGCCCTGACGGCCCACCACTGCGTCTCACTATATGATGATATGAACACGGAATGTCATTCCAGCTGCTCTGAGAGTCACTTCATTAGCATTTTACCGTTTCATTTGAGAAAACTACCCTCATATCACATACACAGCAGCTAAAAGTTCTTCATGGCAACCCGTCAAAATAAAAGTTTAGGTTTTATGGTCTTAAGGTCTTAAGACTCAATGCTACTACTGCTAATACATATGAATAAATCTTTATTTTAAAAAAGGAATAATCACATCTGTTTTCTTTTTAATTTTAACAGTAAACCTCTGTTGTGCAGCACTTTGTTTGCCAAAAAATAAAAGGGTTTAATTTTCATTTGATTAGGATAAATTAAATTAATGTTTTATGCCTTCATCTGATTACCAGAAAAATTAAGAACATTTTATAGGGCCCTACTATTGTTTAAAAAGGACCCTATACAAAAAAAAAAGAATAGGTTTAAAATACAGGCATGTGGTTCTTAATTTCTTTTTATTAATTCACCATTTGTAAACTGATGTTTACTGTTCATTTTTTAGAAATATCAATAGCATTTGTATTAGAACTATATTCACTGAATGTAATAAAAAAAAATCGAGAATCGAATCGAGAGCTTGTGAATCAAAATCGAATCGAATCGGGACATCTGAATCGATACCCAGCCCTAATAATAACACTTCCTCTAATTCATTCTGACGGCACCCATTCACTGCAGAGGATCCATTGGCGAGAAAGTGAAGCAATGCTAAATTTCTCCAAATCTCTTCCAATCACCAAACAAACTCATCTTCATCTCTGATGGCCTAAGGGTGAGCAAATTTTAATTTTTAGGAGAAATGTTCCTTTAACTGCCCATAAAAGCCTAATAAGAGTCTTGCGTCTCTGTGTGTCCGTCTGCAGAGAGAGGATGAGGTTGCCCTACATGAATGATCAGTGTGAACAGATGCTGAAGATCTCCAATGAGTTTGTGAGACTGCAAGTGTCCAACGAGGAGTACCTGTGCATGAAAGTCCTTCTGCTCCTGAGCACAGGTGACCTTCTTTAGAAGCCATTAATGCTTGATCCGTATGGTTTCAGGTTCCCTGAGAATCCAGATGAATTCATTTGATGTCAAATGACTTCATTTTACAGAGGACCGTAACGAAACCTTTGTGTGTTGTTGTGCTTTCTCAGTGCCGAAGGATGGTTTGAAGAGCCAGTCAGTGTTTGAGGAGCTACGTATGTCTTACATTAAAGAATTGGGCAAGGCCATTGTGAAGAGAGAGGAGAACTCCAGCAAGAACTGGCAACGGTTCTATCAGCTCACTAAGCTACTGGACTCCATGCATGATGTAATGGTTTATCCTAAATAATGCTCTTTGAAAACTATGGCTCTGCTCCAAACCCTAGTGAGCTGCTCTTGCTAAAGCGGCATCCTAACTGAGATGGACTCATTTGGAATGCTGTGCATAGGAAGCAACTCTGTACGACATACTAATATCACTCTAGAGACTCAGATCAACAATAGATCCCAGTAGAGTTTTGTATGTCCCTAAGCTAAAGACGCAATACTCTAATAAGCATAAAAACACATGGCACTAGGGTCACCATATCAGGGGCCAGTTGCATAAACAAATTTAGTCTTTTTCATTAAATTATATATTTTTTAATTGCTACTTAATAATTGTAATTCCTACTGGGATTTATTTCACTGCAAAGCACAGTGAAGCAAAGAATGCTGCCTTAGAATGTTTCCAAAACTTGGTATCATATATTAGCCAGCATATAATTTTGATGTTTATCTTTTGAGAACAGTCTTCACCTCAGGAGTGTCCGTAAATGATGCTGCCTGCTTTGGCAATTCACTAGATTTTGGAACAGAGCAAATGTCTATGGTTTGCCTTTTTATTGCATAAATTATTATTGTAGTTTAAAGACGTGAAATCATAACAGGCCTGATTTTTTAAATGTACCTTAAGATTTTTTTAATGTTTTGAAAGAAGACTCTTATGCACAACAAGGCTGCATTTGTTTGATCAAAAATACAGAAATATTGTGAAATATTTTTACAATTTAAAATAACCGTTTGCTATTGTAAAATATTTTAGAATGTAATTTATTTCTGTGATCAAAGCTGAATTTTCAGCATCATTACTCCAGTCTTCAGTGTCACATGATCCTTCAGAAATCATTCTAATATGCTGATCTGCTGCTCAAGGAACGTGTATTATTATTATTGTTATTATCAATGTTGAAACATTTGTGCTGCTTCATATTTGATGAATACACAGTTTAAAAGAACAGCATTTATTTGAAACATTAGCTTTTTGTAACAATGCAAAAATCTTTGATCAATTTAATGCATCCGTGCTGAATCAAATTAATTAATGTCAATGATCCTAAGCTTTTGAATGGCAGTTTATGTTCAGTTTCATAATCCTTTTTCAAAATGTATGAACTTCCTTCACTTTTAATGAAACTGAGAAAATGTGTGCATAGAAAAATGATATTAATATCATAAAATCGCCCTACTTTTGGGATTCACTCGAAAGTAAAGTGCATCACAAATGCTGTTTCACATCTCTAACCCCTCTGTATTGTCTTCAGATGGTGGGTGGACTCCTGAACTTCTGTTTCTACACCTTTGTGAATAAATCCCTCAGCGTGGAGTTTCCCGAAATGCTCGCGGAGATCATCAGCAACCAGTTACCAAAATTCAAAGCTGGGAGTGTCAAATCGCTGCTGTTTCACCAGAAGTGAAGCTCCTCCCAGCAGCAGGACACGATGCCTTAAACGTCCACCCCGTCCCCTCACTCCCACTCCACCGGGACAGCAGAGGGAGGCGGAGGCGTGTGAGAGAGAGGACCGTATGCAACCCAGCACACAACTCCATGATTGACCACAGTACAGTGGAGTCGGAGGAAGAGACGGGTAGTTAGAGGGTCTAAAAAAAAGCTAACAAACGGCTGAACTGTTGAAATTTACGTAACCACGAATAGATTATCCCATACATGTCGTCTCAGGTGTTTGACTCCCAGCATCAACTATTAGTAGATGAAAGCTAATTGTCTAAGGTCACGTACTATGTAGTGTTCCACACGTCTCTTATTTTTGCAACAGATGCAGCAAAGCAGCACTTACAGTCCAGTATGCGCAGATTATATATAATCTGAGTAATATAAGATAGTCTAATCAGAGTATCCTACTTTTTAACTTCAGATGATAGCAGTTTGAAATAATCATTTCAATAACATGTACAGAGATAATGGCTTCAGCTTGGTTTGAAAATGAAATACTTTTTGTATGACAGCATATCTACACTGTTTTAAAACAACTCATGTCATTAACAGAGTATTACATATATACAGAAAAAGGGAAAATATGTGCCTTTTTTATTTTTTAGCTTCTTTCCTTTTTTAGCCATTTTCTTGACTCATCCGAACCAAGACATCCAGCACTACTTCTTCATAGTTGATTGTACTTTTATACCCACTTGCACTTGTAATTTTAAAAAAAACTGCATTTTTTTTTTTTGGCAGCTTTGTAATCATTAGTGTGAAAAGTTATCCTTATCGATGAGACATGGAAGATGAGTCTGACGATTATTTTTACGCTGAGAAATGCAAATCGAGCACTTTCACTCCTTGTAAATACTTTAAAAGGGGCTGGTTTAGATTTGCTCTGCAGCGAAGGTGTATTTGTGTCTAAGAAAGCCATTTATTATGAAATCCACCTGTTAATTCATATAGGAATTATGCACTGTGAAACATGAGTTTTTGTCGGTTTTGTTTTTATGTTTGTCGTCTTTGTTCCTTGGCTTACATAGTAATGCCACAGTATACAACCAAAACAATGAATGCAGATTACAGTACCTATAACATTCTGGATTCATAAATAGTGGAGTGTTCCTTTAATGCATCTTGTTTAATACACAAATAAAAATCCGATGATATCTCCAGCTTCAGACTGCTTAGCATTGCATTGTGTGGTACAGATTTAGCGATCAACACTCATTTTCAAATTCTAATCCATATCTGAGCAGCACTTTTCACTTTGCTCTTCCGTTCAGATATATATATATGATACAAATAAACAGATGTATTTACATGAACTTTTGCAACATGTCTAATAAAATCTTCTCTTAGACCCTACAGTGTCAGGAGTGGCCTGTCGTGTTATCAGAAGTCAAATGCATGGAAAGGTGGGTGGATGGGGTGGAACGATTCAGCCATTTCAACATGTGATGGGTTGTCAAAATTGACATTATCTCAGCTCTTATGGGGTGAGAAGCAACAAAGAGGCGGGATATATTAAAGAAAATATTTTTAGAATGCTAATCAATTAAAAAATGTTTAAGTTTTTCATATTTAAGGCAGCACTATATAACTTTTGGCGCTCTAGCGGTTAATAAACAGAACTGCACACATCCCGCGGAAGAACATTCCAACCGGATCTACTTCTCTAAGTTTATGTCTATGGCGATTCACACAGGTATGTGTTACTCCGCTCTTTGTTCCTTGGCTTACATAGTAATGCCACAGTATACAACCAAAACAATGAATGCAGATTACAGTACCTATAACATTCTGGATTCATACAGACAGATGATTTGAATTGTCAGATACAGTACAATCACACTTAGCGACACCAAACATCAACTCAGGCCCACTTCATTTATATTTGCAGTACAAACTCTAGATCCTGTATGACAGTGTACATTTTGTCATTTTTTTTTATCAGGTCCAGACTAACCCATATTAAACTAACCTTGACCTGTCTTGGTTTAATCAGTCAAAACTGTGGTGCAGGAGCAGGGTTTTAACTCTCTGGGAATTTCTACTCACCTGTATTGTTGCAGTCTGTTATTTCAGTGCCAAACATATATTGCTTTCAATTTGTACAATCTAAAACTGTGCTTGTCCTAACAGTTGGCAAAGGTATATATATTCAAGAGAGGGGAAAAAGAGAAGATCAGAATATTTTACATTTCTTCTGTGGAAGCTTAAAGGAACACTCCACTATTTTTGAAAATAGGCTCATTTTCCAACTCCCCTAGAGTTAAACAGTTGAGTTTTACCGTTTTCAAATCCATTCAGCCGATCTCCGGGTCTGGCGGTGACGAAAACTTTAAAGCAGCACTATGTAAATTTTGGCTACTTCTCTAAGTTTATGTCTATGGCGATTCACGCAGGTATGTGTTACTCCGCAGCGGTGACGACCCGACCAGGCTACAATAGTCCAAATATAAGTACTTAATATAAGTGTACCGTAGTGATTCGGAATAAGACAAAAATGCGGTTTGGAAGATGAATTCATGATGTGCTCACTCATTATATACATTTTGCAAATTTTGAGAAAAAGTTACATAGTGCTGCTTTTAAACTGGACATAGTTAAAAAGATAAGTTGCCGTGGCAAGCTGTATTTTATGATGGCCAGGTACAAAATCACTTTTGTTTGCTCCCAGAACTCATTGTCCAATGCAAGGCATCGGTTTCCCCCTCTGAGCCTCTTAATTTTTGGGTCACACTTGGTACCTTTGCAGTCAAACGTGCCCGAATCTTTGAAATGTACCTTTTTGTTTTTCAGGAAAATCAGTCTAATATATTTTTGTTCAATAATATTTTTTGATTATTTAGAATTTTGGGGGGATTTTATGACCCAGGATATCTTCTGTCCATTCTTTATATATATATATATATATATATATATATTAAAAACAGAAAAATAAGAAAATTCTTTTTTTTCATAAAGAATTCCACTTGATTTTTCAATATTAAATTCAGGGTTAAAAAATTAATAAAAGTCTTGAATATTCACACTCTGCATGTGGGCGGGAATGGAACGCCCCTTTCCACTGATTGGTCAACTAAACATTAAACGCGGAACCAAAGAATTTAGTAGTGTTACTTACACTGTAACATATCTGAATCATGTCTATGATTTTTGTGTGTGTTCAAATAGCTTATGCAACAAAAGTCAACAAGTGTCATCTCATTCCGATGAAGCAAAATAAATAAAAATTCTAAATGTTAAATGTTTTGGTCTAAAGTGACCCAAAGAGGCCCATGCTAATAAAACAACTGGTAACACTTTACAGTAAGGTTCCATTAGTTAATGTTAGTTGGTGTATTAACTAACATGAACAAACAATGAACAATACATTACAGTATTTATTAATCTTTGTTAATGTTAGTTAATGAAAATATAGTTATTCATGTTAATTCAGTGCGATAATTAATGATAACAAGCACAACTTTTGATTTTAATAATACATTAGTAAATGTTGAAATTAACATTAACTAAGATTAATGAATGCTGAAGAAGTATTGTTCATGTTAACTAAAGTAGTTAACTAATGTTAACTAATGAACCTTATTGTAAAGTGTTACCAAATAACTCTATTTTTATAAGTATAGTAATATCCACCTGAGACCCAATCATTTATACTGATCCCTGACAGTAGTGGTATGTTTATTATATGGGTCAATTACAAATTTTTTAAAAAGTCTTTTAACAGTGCCAGGTTCTTAAAATATGTAATCTTTGTAATCAAGTTGGTTGCATATTTGAAAAAAGAAAAATGTATTTTCAAAAAGGCTGTAATGTGCCAATGTGACGACGTAATGACAATGTAACAAATGTGTAACAGTATAAACATAGATATATAAAAGGGCAGAAAAACCTTTGTCTGGCAAATTATAGTCATATAATTAACACTAGCACATTCTATTGTTTTGACTTGATTTATTTATATATATATATATATATATGTT